CGGGGTTGGCTCCAGGTTTCGTGTGTTTCGTAGGTTCTGATCTGATGAATCGGGACCCCCGCGCACCCCACGCCCGGGGCGGCGCGACCCGGTCCTGCCGCGGCCGCCGGTGCCCAGCGACGCTCTGGGCGCGCGGGGCGAGGCGGTGCGGCTGCAGCTGCAGGGCGAGGAGCTGCGGCTGCAAGAGGAGAGCGTGCGGGTGCACCAGATCAACATCTACCTTAGCGACCGCATCTCGCTGCACCGCCGCCTACCCGAGCGCTGGAACCCTCTGTGAGTCCGCAGGTGGCGGGGGGAACACTACCCGCGGAGTCCCCGGGCCTCAGTTTAGGCATCTGTGAAGTGGCGGGGTGGAAATGGGGTGTCGAAATACGTGGGGATCGCGCGTCTTATTCTTTCTCGGAAAGTGGGCAGTGGAAGGGGTCATCTGGGTTGGGGCGACGCAAGAAAGTTAAAAAAAAAAGAAAATAGAATAATCTCAGAAATTGACGAATCTCTTACTGGGCGGTCTCTCCCCCCTAAGAAGGTCTGTCATTCGGCTCTGAAAAAGTGGGGGAGAGTCAGGGCTAAGCAGACAGGTGTGAGACCCCCTTTGGGTGCTCTTCCTGGTTTCACAGCACCTTCCCCCCCACCCCAGTCCAGCCATGCCTGCATGTCCCTTCCTTGGTGAAACTAAGGACTCCTAGGGTTTGAGATCGTCTCCCCATTCACTTATCAGTGTGTGTCAGGCCCATGAATGAAACAGGAGGGGAGGGCGCCCCAGCAGGAGTGGTGAAAGGTCGCTGGAAGGCCAAGTCCGAAGCTTCCCTCTCATTGGGAGCTGGATTCCTGAGCTTTAGGCAAAGGAGGGCAGGAAGGAGGCGCTGGTGGGAAGGGCTCCTTCTGGCTGCGATGCAGCTCAGCTCACTCCTGTGGGTGGTGCAGGCCCCGAGCTTGTGCAGTCGGAGGCCTAATTCCTGCCTGAGCTGCTGGCCCGGTGGGTTGTGCCCACTGTCTAGGTGAGAAGGGAGCAAGCTGGCAGAAGGGCAGACCTCCTGGCCTTCTCTCTCCTTTCCTCCATCGGTGGGGATCTTTTAGGTCCCCACTTGAGCCCTGTTCTTAAAGACTTGGAGGAAAAGAGGGCTCAGAGAGGGGGTCCCAAGAGGAGCCAGTGGAGCAGCCTGTGTGAGCACCAGGCACCTGCCACCCTTTCCGGCTCCCCTGAATTCCTGCCTTGGAGGTGTGGCAAAGATCTCAGGTGTCAGGACAAGTGACTCACCCCACAGCTGGAAAGTGGGGGATGTGACCCTCATGGCCTCTTTGGCATTGTGCTAATTTCAGGATTTGGGGATCCGTGAATCCTTGGCCAGAGAAAGCATGAGTGCCTGCTCCAGGAGTTGCTACCCCCCCCCCCCCACCCGCCGACCTTGGCAGAATTGGGAGGGACTCACACTTCACTGTCTTCCCTATTTTCCGGTGTCTAGCCTCATGCTTTCCCCTGAGGCATCTTCACTGTTAATCTTTTTGAGTAGAACTTTGTTAGTGTTGGTAGCAGTTCCCCCCACTTTCCCTATCTGCAAAATAAGGAATGCGTAGAAATAACACCACCTAGGAATTAATAAAACATTGAACACACTGTGTACTCAATTCTTATTAGTTTTTCTTCCCTTCCCTGTTGCCAACAATGTCCTCAGGAGGTTGTTTTTAAGAGGCATGCAGGGATTGGTTGTAAAGTTTTTTTTTTTTTTTCCGGGTTCCAACTTCCTTTATTGTCCCAGGTTGAGAAATCTCTTTCAAACACTGGATGACCTGTGGGGCTTATGGTATCCTTGTCTCCATGGTGACAGAGCTGCCCTGTGTCCTATCAGGATTTGCTTATAGATCCTGCTGTTGCATTGACTCTGGGAAGTTAATACAAGCCCAGCGTGATAAGGAGTGTGAATGCCTCCTGCCTTTAATTCCTGCAGCAAGGCCTATTGGATTATTCTTGTCTAGCTGGAGAGAAAGGTGAGCTTGATCTGTGTTAGACTCAGCCAGGGAGGCCTGGAGGCATAACTTCTGCCCTCCAGGTCAGGGTCTTTGATGGAGACTCACTTTTACTATAGTTCATAGAAAGGTGAGGACCTAATCAGGGTCTTGAGTTTTAGCCTGAGAAACCAGAATAGCAGAATATAAATTTACAGTTGGAGTCAGGGTGGGTGTGGGGGAGTCCCTTGAGACTTTAACTGATAAGCAGAGGGGTGGTTAAGATCCTTGAATGTCACTGAGGGAGAGGCCGAGTGAGCATCCTGTCTAACAGAGGCAAAGCCTTGCCCCCAAGGTAACATGCAGATCTGGGGCAGAGCTTATCTAGAACCCAGATTTTTTTTTTTTAAGTTTTTTAATTTATTTTGAGGAAGAGGGCACAAGTGGGAGAGGGTCAGAGAGGGAGGAAGAGAGGGAATCCCAAGCAGGCCCCACACTGTCAGCACAGAGCCGGACCTAGGGCTCGAACCCACAAACTGTGAGATCATAGCCTGAGCCAAAATCAATAGCTGGATGTTTGACTGAGCCACCCAGGTGCCCGTAGAGCCCAGATCTTTTATTCCCTCCTCCCTTTTGGGGTGCAGACAATTATTTATTTATTTTAATTATAAAAGCAATACATGTTCACTCTAGAAATTTTAGCATGTACAGGGAACCAAAAAAAAAAAAAAAAAATCTTCCGTAAACCTACAACCCCAGGAGAACCACTGCTAACATTTTGCTGCGTATCCTTTTGGACTTTTCCAGGTATAGAAATAGATTTTGAAAAATATACCCATGGGTATGTGAACGAGAACA